AGAGAGTTTTAGGGCTTGTTATCGGTGGTGACCCCGGTGGTCACTGCTGGACCGAGGAGGCTTTTCTCCCCCCAGGGCGCCCCCGGCCGCTCCGCCTGCGTTGTCACTCTCCGAGCCCCCAGGACGCCGGCGATGAGCGACACACTCGGGTGGCACGACCTGGGGGTCCGGACAGTGCCGGGCCTAGAGCGTTCATAGACGATGAGTCCCCGGCCTCGGAGAGGGACCCGGCAGGTGGCTCGGGCCTCGACCCTCCGCACCTGGACTGGGTCCCGCCACTGCGCTTGGTTAGCTTGTCCTGGAGCCCGCTGCGTGGCCTTTGCTTTCTCCGGTGCTACGAATGAAGTGGCAACACCTTTTTGGTTTTTTGGGGAATCTCAGAAATCCCAAGGACTCTGGGCAGCTCAGGGGTCGCCAGCAACCTGCAGAGGGGCGACAGTTTTCATAATCGGGCGGAAAAGCGTATCAGTGGGGCCAGGGTGTGCAACTTTGAAGTGTGTTGCAGGCCACACAATTAAAATTGTGCAAAGCCCAGGTTCTCTTGACCGCCTGGCTGGTTGTCACAGGACTGTGACAAGTCTCAGCTGAGAATTAATGATCCACTCTTAAAAGAAAACAAAATTATGCATTTCGCTTGGTAGTTGGGGCCTTTGCCTCTGAGGTGGCACTTGGGTAATTCTGAACCCAAGCCCAGAAATCACCTATTTTCAGGTCAGATTGTCTTACCGTCTTCCGGCCCAGCAGCCCTAATGTCATGAATGTCATGACATTGGAATGTCATGAATGTGGCAAGCTCTACCATAAACTACCATGGACTATCAACAGTGTCGTCAGCATAATATATCGAAGCCGTGGGAAAAGCACTGTCACCAGATCGTAGCCTGGGTTGCACAATACTAGTTAGGAAGCCTCAAGCTCGAGAAGTTTCTTTAGTGGTAGTGTTCTCTGTTTAAATCGATGCTATGGAGGCACACAACACTAACTGAATCTGCTGATTTCTCTCCTCTAGTCCTGTTTCGTGGGAGATGTTTCCAGATGTATTCTGGAAATTTAACATTTCAGAGCTTTCTCTGAAATTCACATAGGGAGGGTTCTGGGCCATTAGAAAGTTGGTCCCATGCTGTTTTCAAAGCAGTTGCAAAAATAATTGCTGCTTTCAAGAAAACACAACCCTCTTAAATGTCTTGGATTAAATATGATTTATTTCCAGGGAAGTTTTCGAAATAATCTAAGTATGAGATAATGCAGGGATATTGGCCAAAGGATATAAACTCCCTGTTCTCGATGATAAAGAGTAAATGAAAGAAAAATTCTTCCAGATTATAAGAAGAAACTCAGGGGAATTAAATGGCTCTGACAGACGTCTTGGCTGAAATTAGAAACATTTTGTGTTTATCCATGTCTAGATCTATTCCAGAAAAGAAATAAAAATAGCCAGGCTGCAAATATGTAATAAAGTGCTATGACCCCCAAATGTCTATGATCTCCCAAAATTCTTACGTTGCATCCTAACCCTTAAGGTGATGGTGTTAAGAGTTGGGACCTTATGAATGGGATTAGTGCCCTTTTAAAAGAGACCCAAGGGAGCTCATTTACCCCGTCCACTAAGCAAGGACACAGCAAGAAGGCGCCCTCTGTGACCCAGGAAGTGGCCCTCTCCAGACACCGAATCTCCTGGTGCCATGATCTCAGACTTCCCAGCCTCCAGAACTGTAAGAAATAAATGTCTGTTACTTATAAGCTACTCAGTTTATGCTATCCTGTTATAGCGGCCTGGGTGGGCTAAGACACAGGTAGTTTAGCGTGTGGCTCTCACGGTAAGCACCTGCCTGGGTTCTGGCTGCTATGACAAAGTAGCACGGGGACTAGCCAGTGAGTGCAGGTGGGCAGAGCTCAGCGCTGATAACAAGGTCCAGGGGTCAATCCCTGTACCAGCCAGCTGCCAAAAAAAAGGTGTCATGGGAAGATTTAAAAGTAGCATAGACGGGGCCGGCCTGGTGGCGCACTGGATAAGTGCGCCGCTTGGGAAGCACGGCGGCACTCCCGCCCAAGGGTTCGGATCCCACATACAGACCGGTTCCCGCTCACTGGCTGAGCGAGGCGCGTGAGCAACACCGAGGGTTGCAATCCCGTTGCTGGTCCCCGGTCCGGTACGGGGGCAACACTGAGGGTTGCGATCCGTTGCCAGACACGGAAAAAGACAAAAGACAAAAAAAAAAAAAGACCATGCTTCACGGTAGTTCCAAGGTTCTCACAGTTCTGGAATGGAAGCCTGAGATTAGGGTGCGGCATGGTCGGCGCTGGTGAGGGCCCTCTTCTGGACTGTGCACTGCCAACTTTTGTTATATTCTCACACGGCAGAAAGAGAGAGATGGAGCAAGCTCTCTCATAACTTTTGTAAGGGCATTTATGGGGGCCCCACCTTCAAGACTTTGCCCAATCCCAATCACCTCCCAAAGGCCCCACCTCCTAGCACAACCACACTGCGGGGTAGGGTTTCAACATACAAATTTGGGGAGAACCAAACATTCAGTCCACAACAGCATCTTCTTAAGCAGGAATTTAGTGGAGGCAGCCCACCCTGACTGTCTTTGGGAATTTGGTTCAGCCAGTAGACTGTTCACGAAATGAAGAGACTAATAACAAAGACAGAGTCCCTGACTCACAGAGATGCTCTGAAACCTTGCAGTCTACACCCAGCAATCCCTCTACCCACCCACGTGTTATTGGGACACTGGCTACTTTACGTCGAACACTCTGGGAGAGATAAAAAGGGTGCGAGACCAGAACACAGGGTTACTTTAACTAGATCTGCTGGTGGACCGTCATATTCCACGCAAGCACCCTGAGTTTTCACGCAGCAAGTGATTTAACTAAGGACCAGACTGTCCCTGGTGTACCGAGCTGTGTAGTTCTTCCTTTGCAAGTGTCATTTTAGGTATTTTTCTCAGAAGTGTTCCTAAGTCCCCACCAGAATGTAAACTCCACAACAGAGAGAACCGTGTCTGTCTCGTCTTCTGCCCTGAACAATAATGTCTGATTCAGAGTAAGGGCGCCGTGACTGTTTGTTGACTGAACTATGAATGAATGGTCACAGTTGGCATTTTTAACCACCTCTTTACAGATAGGGAAACTGAGGCATCAGAGGAAAAGACTCACCTGAGATCGTCCCCTAGCAGCCCTCACAGCATGTGATAGAACTGAGATCACAGAACAGGGATTCCTTTGCCTTTTGTTAAATCCCTAACATTATGCCTAAGGTTGATCAGGGGGCGTACTACTGCTACTACTACTAATAATAATTTTAAAACTGGGTTTTGGGCCGACCCCGTGGCGCACTCGGGAGAGTGCGGCGCTGGGAGCACAGCATGCTCCGGCCGTGGGTTCGGATCCTATACAGGAATGGCCAGTGAGCTCACTGGCTGAGCGTGGTGCGGGCAACACCACACCAAGGGTTGCGATCCCCTTACCGGTCATAAAAAGACAAAAACAAAAAAACAAAAAAAACTGGGTTTATGGGTACAATTTATTAAAGCTTCCAAGTCACTCATTGGCCAAACACGGTGCTAATTTTTCAGCACAATAATGGAATACCCAAGGCAATGACCCACATTCCCATGGCGCGTGTGACATCCTGGCGAACAGCCGGAGCCTGAGATCTCCTCTGTCTGGGTCAGACCCACTTAAAAAATCTATGAAGAGAGACCAAAACAGCAAGGCCAGCTGGCCTCGAGGGGCACGAACAGCCCCTGCAAGAAAATCGCTGCACTCGTTTGAGCTGAGCCTGGTAATCCTCTCAAGGACAGAGCAACTGTCACCTTCCTGTCTGTGGTCCCGGGTGTTCACAGGGCACGTCAGTGACAGAGATGGCATCTATTCTACTCACATGCCACTAGTGTCTTCCGGTAGAAACCAATCTTATCATTTGAAGTAATCAATTGCACATTTCGTCTTGTTTCTTTGGCTTTTATGCTTACACGTTCTCACGTTTTATCCCACTTCCCTACTGAGCAGGATGGAGTTGAAACCACTGAGACCCAGTCTGTGCTACATCTGAAATTGTTTTTCCTTTGTGTGTGTGTGTGTGTGTGTGTGTGTGTGTGTGTGTGTGTGTGTGTGTACAGGGATGGACCCCTGGACCTTGGTAGCAGCACCGCGCTCTGCCCACCTGTGCTCACCGGCCAGGCCCCGTGCTACTTTGTTACAGCAGCGAAACCCAGCCAGGTACTTAGCATGAGAGCTGTGCACTGTCCTACCCGTGTCTTCGAGGACGTCCACTCAGGCTGCTATAACAGCACACCATGAACTTGTATTTTATGTTTTCAAAGAACTGTCAAAGAGCTTCCTGACTTCTGTTTGCTCGCTCTCCCCACAGGTTGGCATGAAATGATCTTCAGGACCGAGAAGTGTGGGATGCACATGATGGCTGAAGTGGGACGTGCTGGCCGCAGACCTTTGGCCCCTGGAGCTGCGTTGGGCAGGGCAGTTACCTTGTTAGCCACAGAGTGCTGGGCCCGGCCTGGCCCGAGGGTTTCTGATCTGGTAGGTCTCCAGTGGGGACTAACAACCAGTGTGTTAACTGGTTCCCGGAGGCCGCTGCTCTACCAGTCCGGGGACCACACTTTGAGAACCACCGTCCCTGACTGCACAGTGTTGCTCTGGCCATGTGGCTCACGACGTGTGAGCAGACCTGAGCCCCGAGCGACCTGGAGCACAAACAATGATGTCTTAGAACTTGCTTCCGGGTGCTGGGTGCCCGTGACTGCTTCACAGGGAATCAAAGTGACCTGGTGGACAGTTGTGACTGACAGGAACGGTGAGCTGCCACCAGTGCTCGAATCCGTGTTCTGCACAAGGATACCTAACGGTATCTCAGCCATGGTTAGCGTCGTGACACTTCCTGACTCAGGAGCTGTGGGGACCTGTGATTGTGGCTCAGGGGTCTTCTCCTCTGTCACCTCCTGGCCTCTCTGCAGCCCAGGCCCAGGGGCCTGCCTCTCCCTTCCTTGTCAGCGCTCTCCGGGTCCCTCCTCCAGGCCTCTGATCAGGACTTTCACGCTCCCCAGAGCACCGTCTCTCTCCCATGCTGGTGGGAGCCCTCAATGGCTTCTAGGTCTGGATCAAAGCCTGGCACTCTGGGAAGTGTCCCCTGTGGGCACAGAGGACTCCCACGGGTTTGCTAACTCCTGGCTCAGCCGCTTCCCAGCTGTGTGACATTAAAGAGTTCCCTTAGCCTGTTGTCTTCCTTTTGGTCTCCCTCTAAAGGCAGAGACCGTGACAAGGACTTGGATGTGTGTAGTTTGTTTGGGGAAGCTGGAACCAGGGGGTGGCAGG